GATTCTTGGAAATATTATATACATTTTTCCAAATGAGGAAACAGACTTAGTGAAGCTGAGTAATTTACTATTGTGTTATTAAATGGCAATAGACATCATGTTGACTCTGCAAGTTTTTTTTTTTTTTAATTACTCTACTCTGGCCTTCTAGAAGGAAATGAAAATGTTCTGAAGTCTACTGTTGTGGAATAATCTTTTTGTACTCTGTGAAGATATGTCACTCAGAGTAGTTTAATAAAAAGCAGAACAACCAATAGATAGGCAGGATTTCCAAGCACAGAGGATGTTAGGAGGAAGAAGGGAGGAGCTGCCAGAAGACAAGAGGGAACAGACATGCAAGAATAGAGGTAAAAGCCATGAGTCACTTGGTAACACCTAGATGAATAAAAATGGGTTAATTTAAGTTGTAAGAACGAGTTACTAACAAACCCAAGCTATAGTTTGAGCTGTCGTAATTAATAGCATGACTCCATGTCATTACTGGGAAGCCTGTGGTCCCGAGAACAAGCCCAACAACAGTCTGTTACACTGGTTACAAGTACTCCCATCTCTGACTCCTTCCCACTCATTCTCTCACCCACTGTGGGAGTTTGAATGTAATTGGCCCCCATAAGCTCAGAGGGAGTGACACTATTAGGAGGTGTGGCTTTTTTTGAGGGGGTATGGCCTTATCCGAAGTGTCTCACTGTGGGGGGCGCTTTGAGGTTTTCTATGCTTAGGATTCTGCCCAGCTTTTCAGTCAATTTCCTGTTGCCTGCAAGATGAAGGACTCCAGCTACTACTACTCCAGCACCATGTCTTCCTGCATCCCACCATGTTCCCCACCATGCTGATAACGGACTGAACCTCTGAAATTGTAAGCACACCCTCTCAATTAAATGTCTTCCTCCTAAGAGTTGCCGTGGTCACGGTGCCTAAAGAAGACAACCCTATTCTCCAGTGATACTGATCGCCTTATGATTCTCTTAGAGTCTTCTCAAGTGCCTAGCCCTTTGTTCAGGTTATTGCTTTGACTTAAAACGGTTCTATCTCATTAGTACCAGATTAACTGGCTTATGCCAACATTTTTGGTTGTTTTCTTTTTGTGTGTAGACAGATTTTTTGGGGGGATGCCAGCTCACAAATAACACAGTGACTTATTAATTGTGACAGTTCAGACTATAGTGTAAGTTTGTTCCTGTCTAGCTCTTACAACTTAACCCATTTATAGAATTCTACTGAAAGGACAAGACAGACTCCATTTTGAGAAAGAACTCCATTTTAGACAGAACTTGACCTTGTTGAATTTAGTTACAAGAAGAACCACAACAGTTCCAAGAAAGACCACACACTGCTAGGGGTCAAGATGACCTCACCAGGGTGGGCCACCCAATGAGAGACTTTGGTAAACAACATCTGTGACTTTATGGTTTTCTGTTAGCTTTGAAACAAGCTCCCCTAAACCCCAGCCAATGATTTCAAAGGCTGCCCACCCTTACCTAATCCTTGTCCAATCCAGAAATGCCAAGGCATGTACCACTCTGCTTGCATTTTTTTTTCTTTAAAAACCCCTTACCCAAGAAACTCTGGGCTGTTCTTCTCCATCCACTACATTGGAGGCTGGATGATGGTCCAAGCTCAAGCTTGTAATCAATAAACCCCTGTGTTTGCACTGGACACCAGCTCTGTGGTGGTCTAGTTTGGGGGGTCTCACAATGCGGGTACAACCTGGCGCTCTATTACATGGCATTACCTCTCCTTCATCTTGCACCTCCTGTTTCCTCTCTGTGTCTCCTGGCATCCCTTGTGCACCTTAGTTCATCTCCTAGTTACTCTCTCTGCCTGGAAGTCCCACCTATACTTCCTGTCTAGCTATTGACTACTCAGCACTTATTAAACCAATTACAGCAATATATCTTCATTCGCTGTACAAATATCCCACAACACTCATGTTCCTGGGGTGGACCCAAGGCCATGCAAATGGTAGGTCATCATTCTGCTCCTGGCCTACACCCCCAACTCCTACTCATTTTTGAGTCCCAGTTTAAATTATTCTTTCATGCTTCCATTACTTTTGAATTACTCCAAATATAGCAAGGATCTTATTGTGCCTTCATCTAAACTATAAGAAACTTTAAGAATTCTTTACTTTTCTTCTTTATTTTGGAAATTCCAGGGCATTTGACAGTTTCTGTTTCCCAGTGGGTATTCAATGAAATGCCTGCAGAATGAATAAAAACATGATTAAATAGCTTTAAAATTCATGCACACAACTCACTAGAGGTTTGTGAAATTTTTTCTTACTTTACTGAGACAGGGTTTCATTAAGTAGCCTTGGCCAGCCTGGAACTTGCTAAGGTTGACATCTAACTCAGAGATCTACTTGTCTCTGAGTGCTGGGGTTAAAGGCATGCTCTACCACACATGGTTTACTTTATTATTTTAAGGCTAAAAGTTATCAGAAGCAAAACTTTTCATATTGATAACAAAAGTTTCCATTATGTTCTTATTCTCTAGGACAAAACACCTGGGGTATTATAGTTATTCAATATATTTGTTGAAATGATGAAGAACCATAAAAACGTGTGAAGGTGTTGTATTGCATTTTTCGTGTTGCAGTATAACTATTTAACTATGTAAGGATGTGTTGCTTTTTGTTTATGCTGCATTTGTTTACGCAAAGCTGTGTTGCTGTTTCAACTTGCCTTCCTAAGGCACCAAAAGCTAGGCAAAGGAGGGATAGGCGTGGCTGGTGGGCAGAGAGGAAAGGGCAGCCATCCAGCCAGTTGGGGGACAGTCAGCCTGGAGCCAATCAGCCAGACATGGAGGAAGCAGGAATGCAGGAGGGACAGTATGTAGTTGAGGTAAATGAGACTCAGGGCAGCACACAGATGAACAGAAATGGGTCTAAGCTAAGTCTAAGCATTCATCATAATTAATAATGTCTCCATGTCATGATTTGGGGGACTGGTGGTCCAAGAAAGACTGCTAGGTGAAAGGTTGGGTGTTGGGCATTCATATTTAAGCTTCAAGCACAAAAGTGCTTGTGTGTGTGCACACATGTATATACACAGATTTTTATAATACATTACTTATTATATCCAAATTCACTTTATTGTCTAATTGTTGGGATAATCTTTGTAAACTGTGTGGAGATGTGTGTTTGTTTTACCTTACGTGCCTAAGGCACCTTCTGATTGGTTTAATAAAGAGCTATCCAGCCAATCAGCTAGGCAGGAGAGGGGAGGCGGGTCTTCTAGGCAGAGATAGGAACTCTGGGAAAGAATCTGAAATTGGGGAGGGGGGAATTCTCCAGCTAGATTCTGAGGAAATCCAGAGAGGTAATGAGCCACGTGGTAGAATATAGATTAATATAAATGGATTAATTTAGGTTTAAAGAGTTAGTTGGGAACAAGCCTAAGCTAAGACCAAGCTTTCATAATTAATAAAAAATCTCCGTGTCTTTATTTGGGAGCTAGCAGTCCAAAGAAAGTCTGACTATATCTAATAACAGTGTGTGATTTCCGTTCACACATTAAATATTTACTTAGCAGGCACACTAATGTATCATTTTAAACAGCCTCATTTTATTACTTGCTATCCCTCTTCCTGGAAACTTAGTAAACCATCCAGCAAATACTGTATTTATTGTAGTCCTTCAACCTCCCTTCATTCAGTTTTTGCTACTTCCCCCAGAAGGATGCCCCCGATTCCCTTTAGTAGAGCTGTGAATGTACTGAAGTCAAGGTACCTTATTTCATCCTCTCAGTCCGAAAGTCACAACTCTGGTAACACAACTAGCGGGCAGAGATGAAGGCGTGCTCATCTGTTTCTCCTGGACTCAGCACAGCAGGTCTAAAGCCAAACCGGAGGACTGGAATGAATATTCTGTTGCACAGTGTGGTTTAATACCATGAAGTCTCTCTACAAAAGGGTTGTGTATTATCATAATTATGCTATAAAAGACAAAAGATGGTCTAACGAAGTTTAAAGACACGTCCAAGGTTTCACAGGCAAGACTGTGGTCACAGGAATGTCAAGAACGAAGTCAACACTGATTCTAAAAGATTAAGATTCTCTACAGTCTTTCCTTGAGGTTTTCACTCAGCTCTGGCTACTTTTTTTTTTCTTCTTCTTCTTCTTTAGAACAATGACTCCTTACATACTGGTCTTTCTCCTCGCGATTCTCAGGAGGTTTAACACATACTTCAGGATTGTTAGTTGGGCAACACTCCATACTCTATTAGAAACTTTTGACCCCGCCTTGGAAATGAAACTCAAGCCCGGCATGGTGGCACAAGCCTTTAATTCCAACACTCAGGAGGCTGAGGTGGTGGATCTCTGAGTTCGAGGCCAGTCTCGTCTACATAGAGAATTTCGGGACAGCCAGGGCTACAGAGAAACTCCGGGTCGGCCCCCGCCCCAACAAAACAAAACAAAAGCCCTAAAACTTTCTGGTCTCACTACTGGCAGGTTAGAACTCCCCCAGGTTAGAACCCACGGGGGAGTCCAGAGAAACACGGTCGCATCAGTGAAAAGGACAGGAATTCGAAATGAAAAGCACGGAGAATTTAGTACACCGAGTAAAGTCCTGGTGTTACCAAATCTAGGGATTTGTGGAATTTGTTTGCTCACCGGTAAGGCAACAGTGAGTGACTCAGTTGCCAACAGCAACGATGGCTGCTAATAAGTCTTTACTTTGCTTGGCTCTACCCTCCTCAGGGGTATTTTCAGTGAGAACTACAATGAATACATTTAATAAAAGTTGGGACTTTTTTACTCATAAGTTGAACCAGGAAGTTACCGCTGTGTGTTCTTGAAACATTCAACCCCTCAAAGTTTCTCTTGCCCTTTACCAAAATGGTCGCTCAGGCTGTCTGGAGGGTTGAAGCCTCCGTCCCTTAACAAAGATGGCGCCGGAGGCACGTTAAGAACAAGTTTGCCCACTTCTCTGCCAGTGACAAACATGGCTCCCGCAGCGTCACTCACATGACACGTCCGGACTACGGCACGGGAGACGGCGGAGGAGGGCCCTTGTAAAGGGTGCGCGTTCCCGTGGCGGTGCACCCGGTAGGTTTCAGTCAGAGTCACTATGGCGGCCTGCGCTGGCAAGGTAAGCTGAGGCGGTGGCGGAGGTGGAGGTGGCGGTGTCGGCCACAGAGGCAGGAGCGCCGTGCGGTCCTGGCTTCTGATCGCCCAGCCTGGCTGAGTCGAGGTCGCCCGAGGTCGTAGCCGGCGGCTGGGGCTGGCGGGGGCTGGTGAAGGGGTTACGGGCTGCGGCGAGCGGGCACCGGGTCCTGACTGCCGTTTGTTTTGGTGTTTCCCCCACTAGGTCGGAAAGTTTCCTGCTTCGTCCGCCACCGCCTGAGCTGGCCGCGCTGGCCGCGAGTGGAGAAGGCTCCGGCGGACCCAGCCCCGGCCTCCAGGCCTCTCCCTGCACCTCCGGGCCAGCCTCCCTCCCCCACCCCGCCGTCCTCCGGGAGCTGCCAGTCCCTGAGATGCGACCCTCGCGTGGACGATCCTGACGGGAGGTGGTCCATGTGCTGAGCGGCAGAGCCCCGAGCTCCGGAACCAACTTCGCGCCGGCCCGGGTTCCCAAGCCCTCCCTGGGGTAGCGCCTCGCTCTGTCCGCACCGGCCTGCAGAGCCAGGTCCCCGCCCTGGTCGCGGGGACACCCGCCAGGTGCCCGGGACTCGCGACTCAGCAGCCGCCCGGGCCGCCTCCAGCCTGGGATCGCGGGCTCGGCTCACGCTGGCCCGGGGACCCCTGCCACTCCCGGGCGGCCTCGGCGCAGCAGGGGCCATGCGCTCCTGTCCGCTGGTCCTCTAGCCCTTCTCGTGGACCCCCGCGCCCCTTCTCATCCCCGAGGACCGGCGGTGGCCGCCCGGAGATCCTCGGCTCCTCTCCCTGGGGCCCCGAAGGACCTTCCTGGCTGCACTCAGCCAGACCCTCTTCATGCTGCAGTGCTGCACCGTTTCCGCTACAGTAGGGGAGAAGCGGCCGGGATATCAAAGAACACCCAAGAATTGGTGTGTGACTCGTCTGCCTGGATACCTCCCGTCCCCAAACTGTCTTCCAGGAGTTTTCTTGGCCGAAGCTGCCCAATGTTTGAGCCTTTTCTTCCTAGGGAAGATGGACTGAAAGCGGCTGGCAGGGGACTTTTTTTGGTCAAGGAGCCTCAGTGTTTTAGAGGAGGTGATGGGGCTTGCGCTGGCTTGTCTTCCTGCCCATTTGAAGAGTTGTTGATGTTCACTGGTTATGCTTAGACAATGCGCAGTTTGTTTTAATTTAAAAATTTTGGGGGGATAGGGGTATAGGCTTGTGAAGAGCGTTCCGAACCTGGAGGAGCTCCTCATTGTCCCTGGTAGAGACACCCCCCAGCCTGTCCTCGATGCCGTCAGCCTTGGCCATCTTCACTTGCCGCCCGAACTCGCACCCGTTTCAGGAGCGTCATGTCTACCTGGACGAGCCCATCAAGATTGGCCGCTCGGTGGCACGCTGTCGACCAGCGCAAAATAATGCCACCTTTGATTGCAAAGTGCTGTCAAGGAACCATGCTCTCGTCTGGTTTGATCACAAGACGAGCAAGGTAATGTCACTACCATGTTTTTACAGTCTTTTCTTTCCCCTTGCCCCTTTGAGAGGTGTAAGGTATGCAGGATCTCAGGGTTTGTTCCCAGAGGACACTTTTCCTTGAGGCCGTGGAATCAGCTTTTTGTGTGTCTGAATTATAGTGGAAATTTAAATCGAAGTGGTTGAATGAAAGACAGAGAAGGTATTGTTATTAAATGTCTCTGTAGGGCGATGGCTTCTTGATAACTTGGTCATTCCCACTGAAATCCCAAACCCTAATTCGTTTAGGAAAAGCAGATAGTGAAACTTGACCTCTCGCTTTCGGTCCTTTTAGAAAGGTGAACCTGCAGTTCAGTGCTTGATTAAGCAAACAGCAGTTCCCAAAGCGATGCCGGAATCTGCGGCCACGATTACACGGGGCTCAAGTGTCTCCGTGGTGAAATGTAGTTAATACGTAGCTGGTAGTTGAATCCCATTCAGGGCCCGCCTGGTAGGATAATTGCTGTGTAAAGTTAATGATTTTGTAAGGTTTGATATGTTTTTGTGAGGTTTGATACTTATTTGCACCTGATGAAATAATTTGTAAAAATTAAAGGCAATTAAACTAGGTTGGATTAATTGCTACATTTTCAGAGTTGTGTTTACAAGTTGGATGAACAGAAACTATTGCTTTTGACAGTTACTTTTTAATTTCTTTGGTAGATAATGTTTAGCTACAAGATGATATGCAAAAATTAGTATTAATAAACTAGCTTATTTTTCTTAAATTATATCCAATAGTATCAATTATATACTACTTATAATAAGAATTCCTGGGCTTCTTTCCTCCTCCATCTCTTCTTTTGTTCTTTTCTTCCTTCCTTTTTTTTTGTTTTGTTTTGTTTTGACAGTGACCAGCTGGCCTAGAACTTGTTCTATAGACTAGGCTGTCCTCAAGCTTAGAAGATTTGCCTGCCTCTGCCTCCCAAGGACTGGGATTAAAAGTCACTCACTATGACTGGCCTTGCTTTTAATTTTTAATCCAGTTTAGCTTGTTTATCTTGGCACTGTACCTTGCTAGTTGCATGTATTTAAAAAAAAATAAGACCCTTTTAGTTTTTTTTTTAAAAATGTATGTATGGAGAATATTTTAAAGAGTTCATTTTTGGGCCTAAACCCGAGGTTTTGGTTGAACTACTGAATTAATTCCAACTTAAAGTAAGTTACATAAGACTGACAGAGCTGTCTCCAGTTTTGTCTTCTGACTTTTTGCCCCCTCTTTCTGAGTGACATGATTAGTCTTTCTCTTTTTTTAAGAGGAGAATTTATCTTCAAGAGTGGTGTTTTGAAATGAAAGAAACTTGAGCCTCCAGAGAAGAAAGTAATACATGTGTAGCTACTGAATTAAGGAATTACAAAATAAACTTTTTTTTTTTTTTTGGAAGAAGGAAAAGATCCCCAAGTGCTGTGTACTTGCATAATGCTTACAACTTTTTCTGTGTGTGGGATGAGAACCGAGAAGTTACTAACTTTTTCTGAGTTACAGGAGATAAAACCAACTCTTTTTTTTTTTATAACCCCTGAAAGCTAAGATTTGGGTGCATTCTTTCATAGATGGCCTGTGATTCTTTGTAAATGAGTACAGGGTTCTTTTTGAATTCCAACATTAGTTGACAACTAGTGTCTTAATATAACCGACTTACATTTTTCCTGTTTATGTCCTTGGGAAACAGGTCTGGCCTAACCTGCAGCAGATCTGCGTACAGTGCCTGCTTTGCAACTGCAGTTCTTGTTTGACAAACAGTGCCTGGCCCAGTGGCACAAGCATGTCATCCTCCTGGGCAGCTTAGTGAGTTTAAGGACGCTAGCTGGGGTATATAGTGAAACCCTGTCTCAGAAAATCAAGGTGGAGAGAGGGGTGGGGAGAATTCTTTGAAGGGTAGCCTTGGTTTATTTTTCCCATCTTCATTTTTCCCCTTTTTGTGTTATTGGCTAAAATGACACCTAGGACTTGAGGGTATATTTTGTGTAATTATTGATCTTTTTTTTAAATTTATTTATTTATTGAAGATTTCTGTCTCTTCCCCGCCACTGCCTCCCATTTCCCTCTCCCTATAATTATTGATCTTTATAACCACCTAATTTAGTTTAAACAAGCTGTTAGGTCTTTCCTTGTGAACAAATTATTTTAGTAATTAATTTTAAAGTATTGCCTTAGACAGACAGGTTTTTATTGAGCATGTATTCTTTGCCGGAAACTGGGAGATAGAAAGAAAGCCAAACCAGTTTGACCACTATTTATTGTGTAGGACTTCTGTGGTTTTATCATGGCAACCCCCCCCCCACCCCATGCCTAATATATGTTCCTTGAAAATTATGGTATGTAAAAATACAAGAATCCAGTCCTAGATATCATTTCAGGAAAGTTTGTTTTTAAGCACCTCCAAGCCTTAGTTTTCTTATCTATGGATAGTATCGCCTACTTAAAGTTTTATTTTTGTCATAGGAAAGAAATGTTTGCCCTTGTGTGCATGAAACACCTGTTGTACCACTGAGCCCTGCCCACTGCTCCTTTACTGTTTTAGGGATTGAGGTCAATATGCAAATCACTTAGTACACCATGCTTTTCTTTGATTAAAGCCTCAGTATTTAGTAGGGAGGGTGTTTGAAGGCAAGAGTGACCCCCAAACAGTGCTTTGTGAACCACTGCTGTGCTGTGGAGTCTAACAAGGTAACAAGAAGTTTCTTTTCATTTTTAGGCAGGGTCTTTTGTATGCTGAACTCACTCCAAACTCAATACATACCCGAAGTGCTGGTAATTCAGGCTTTTGCCACTACATCCAGTTTATAGATGTTAAGGATTGAACCTAGGACATTGTACAAGCTAAGAAATACTCTACCAATTGAGCTGCATCCCAAGTCTAGAAATTGTCTAATACAATTGCAGATATAGAAATAATTTTAAAAGCAGAAGGTAGTGAAGTTGATAACTTTGTCCCAATAGGCCTTTTGCCGTGGAGGTAGGAAACTGGAGTAATATGCCCTTTGGTTGACTTTGTTGGTGACCTGTTCTGCAGTTGCCATTATGGGAGGCCTAGTTAAAGCTGGAAAAAGTAATAAATGCTTGAAGCATGTGCTCTGTAATGTTGAGACATGATCTATGCATAGACATCACTCTATGTAAGACTACTCAAGGCAGTGCTCTTCCTTCAGCCTCCTTAGTGTTAGGCTTACAAGTGTGCGCTACCATGCCTGGTTATTTGAAAGCTTTGGTCATTCAACTCATAGATGTGCAGTTTAGAAAAACTGGCCAAGTGCAGGCAAATGGGAATTTCAAGGTTTGCTTTTGAAGTAAACTTGGAGTTTATCAAGCAAAAGAAAGATACAGATGTGGGTGGGCTTGAGTGTGGGTATTACTAAGGATACATAAGTAATGCTTTTTAATGTTAAATTCAAGAAGAGTGAGTTACAGTTTTCCCGACGTGTGGTGTTTACTAGGCTTAACAATTCATCTTAGGGATGTTAACAGCTGTCTTGCCTGCATTTTTTGTATCTTTTATTCCTTTGTGGACTCTATAAACTCTTCAAATTTTATAGCAGATAATAGATAGTTCTTCAGTTGACTCAAAAAATGTCACTAAGCAAGTAAATGTATTCACATGGTAGTTATACAGAAGGGATTATGAGTGGACATATTTGGATGGCCTTATTTGTTAGTTCTGGGCTTGCCAGGGCTACATAGCAAGACTTGTATATTTAAAAAAAAAAAAAAAAAGGCCACAGAGCGTTTTAGATAGGGATCACCTAACAGTCAAAATCACTATTTAAGAAAAGTGATACAGTATTGTGTACAGAAAGGACCTGGAGCAAAGAAATTATAGCTTAACTTATGTGTCATATCTCGTTCTTCTAAATGCTTTGCATCCGTGATTCTCAACCTATGGGTCATGACCTCTTAGGGATCACATATCAGATATCCCGTATATCAGATGTTTGCATTACAATTCATAATAGTAGCAAAATTACAGTCATGAAGTAGCAATGAAATAATTTTATGGTTGGGATCATCATATCATGAGGAACTGTATTAGAGTCATAGCATTAGAAAGCTTGAGAACCAACCTCCGCTCTACACGTTAAACTAACTTCATCTTCAACTTTGTGCTAGGTGTTTATTTTTCTTTCATGAATATGTTGAAAATGAGGCATTGGGATAATAGGTTAACACCCCTGAATTCATATTGCAAATAAATGGTAGAGCCATGATTTGAGCACAGGTATTTTGATTCTTGTCTTGCTGTCTACAGAAGCCACCCCATAAACTGCCATCCCAAGACTGTGACATCTTAATCATGATGTGATTTTGTTAAGTACAAGCTCCAGGTTGGTAGTAGAAATGAAAACGATTAAACGGCCATGAGCAAACAGACAGAGTGGTGTATTAGGTTAGCTTGTCTAATAGAATTTTTTTGTTAACAACTGAAGATTTAGGGACAGTTTCATAGATAACAGTTCACAGATGAAATGCAAATTCAACTAGACTGAAGGACTTTAAAAAAGGCCATGTGTAGGTAAGAGTGAATCAAGGAAGCGAGGTGGGAGGAATTGCTTAAGTAAAGGCACAGAGGCATGAATGAGATTATGTGTTCCAGGGACAGCACACGGAAGTCAGTGCAAAGGAAGACAGCCAGTTGCTTCTTTCCTTGACATATCTAAACATGACTGCCAAGATCCTGGATTGAACCTTTGAGAGAGTGTCAGATTATGTATTCATTGCTTTTCTTTTTTATTTTGTTTGGATGTTTGTTTTAATGGAATTCTGTGATATTTTTCATTAATAGAAGTAGGAAGTTTTCTGACAAGTGCTAGTTCGTGTGACAAAGTTGTTTATCTGACAAGTTATATTTACGGTACATGAATTTGTATTTCCTTTCATGATGCTTTTTTTGATAGTTAAAAGTCAGTGAAATATTTAAGCTAATTTATCTAGTTTTTAAAACACATCGTAAGGCCTGGCGAGATGATTAAGAGCACTGG